TAAACCTCCCCTGGGGCAACTTGAGGCTGTTTCCTCTTGTCCTGTCCCTTGTTCCTTGGGAGCAGAGCCCGACCCCCCCCTGGCTCCAGGCTCCTGTCAGGAGCTGTGCAGAGCCAGAAGGTCTCCCCTGAGCCTCCTTTGCTCCAGGCTCAGCACCCCCAGCTCCCTCAGCTGCTCCTCACATGACTCAAGACTCTTGCCCAGCTTTGTTGACCTCTGGCCACGCTTCAGTCCCTCAATGTCCTTCTTGTATTGAGATGCCCAAAACTGAAGCCAGTACTTGAGGTGTGGTAGTTGCACACAGTCCATGGACAGCCAGGAAAAGGACCTTCAGAGCTGACTCCAAATCTTCTGCCACACCACAAAGTTCTGACTTAATGACCATTAACAACCATTAATGCATAGTCAGTGTCTACAGGGCAGCCTCAGGAACCAGTGGTCCCCAACTATATCAGGTTTGGGTTTGACCCCTAAATCTCTTCCAGCAGAGCATCCCAAACCCAGACAGTTTTCCCTTTGTGTATCAAAAGGCACAACCCAGCTGCTCAGAAAATCTTTGCATATGAAGAGTTCCTCTGTCATTTTTTTATGATGGCATCATACAACTGGAAAGCTGTTGGAAACAGTCTGTTCTCCACAGCCTTAGGGTGTACTGGAAAAGATTTATCCATGAAATTTACCCAAATTTCACCAATTAAAGGGTCCCCTTGCAGCTTGGAACGTGAACTCCCCTCCCCTCTCTGGCACAACCTCTCAAGGCAGGCTGACCAAGTGTTATGAAGCTTCACACAGAGAAGCTTCTCCCCTTCAAATCGCCTCAGAATTCCTCTTAGGGTGAGCACTCACCACCCATGACACCCAAAGCATCCTATTCAGCCTCATGGTTGTGATAATGGGGTTTCACCAAGGATCCATGCAGACCAACACCCCCTGTCACCTGCTGGCAGGTGCCCAGGTTGCAGCAGCACCATCTGTTAGAAGATGATGAGTTTAGACACACTATTTGCTGGCGTTTCACAGCTGTGGAGGGATTCATGGCAAACAGGGAGCAGGGAGTGGCAACTACTGAGCCATGGAGGAGATCCTCATGTCATTCCATCAGCCATGGAATAGCTGGAAACCCAAAGTTTCAGCTGTGATGAAACCCAAGTGGGGCTGAGCTACCCCTGCTGCAAACAGGGTGGAGATTGGTGCCTCCTCAGAAAACCTCCAAGAGCTCCACCACATTTGAGGGACCTTTCCCCTTGTGTTTTCCGTGGGGCTCCCCACACTTCAACAGCAGCTCTGTGGCAGCCAACAGCAGCTCTATCAACCCTATTTCTCACAGGAACCTCCTGCAAACGCCGAGCAGGGATCCCAGCTCCAGGCCAGGCACACGCTGGCTGGTGTCACGGCCACACTTCAACAGCAGCTCTGTGGCAGCCAACAGCAGCTCTATCAACCCTATTTCTCATGGGGGTTGAGCAGGAACCTCCTGCAAACGCCGAGCAGGGATCCCAGCTCCAGGCCAGGCACACGCTGGCTGGTGTCACGGCCACACTTCAACAGCAGCTCTGTGGCAGCCAACAGCAGCTCTATCAACCCTATTTCTCATGGGGGTTGAGCAGGAACCTCCTGCAAACGCCGAGCAGGGATCCCAGCTCCAGGCCAGGCACACGCTGGCTGGTGTCACGGCCACACTTCAACAGCAGCTCTGTGGCAGCCAACAGCAGCTCTATCAACCCTATTTCTCATGGGGGTTGAGCAGGAACCTCCTGCAAACGCCGAGCAGGGATCCCAGCTCCAGGCCAGGCGTCCTCTGGCCGGTGTCACGGCACCCACCTGCTCCTGCAGAGCCTGGAGAGCAGCGAGAGCAGGAAGGCCAGGAGCACGCAGGCAGGCCCAGAGCCCTGCTTCAGCAGCTCCACGATGATGCTGGCTTCCACGCCGTCCGACTGCCAGTGGGTCAGCTTGATGGGCCCGTCGTCATACCTGTCTGTCATGAACAGCACCCTGCTCCTGGAGACCGTGCTGAAGATGGCAGCCAGCCTGGAGGGGTCGCCCGCCTCCTGCTCGGCAGAGCTGGCTGCCTCCAGAGGGGGATGGAGGTGTGAGAGCATCACTTGGCGCTGGTCATAGTACACCAAGATGATTTCCTCCTCCTTATGGTTGTCAGAGTTCTTCTGGAGGACAGAGCAGCTCCAGAATTTGTTGTCTCCCTCTTTGCTTATCTGAATCCACGGCTCCTGGGAGAATATCGTCCCGAGGTCTTCCAAGAACTCACTCAGACTCTCTTCTTTCTCCTGTTGGCTATTGCTCCAGGAGCCCAGCACAGAAACACTGACTGCTGTCACCCGCTGGAGCTCGCTGAGGTACTGCTTCACCTGCAGAGGAATGAAAGGGAAGTGGACCACGGCCAGGACCACAGCAGAGCTCTGCTGGGAGATCCAGCGGCCGATCAAGATGCCGCTTTCTGCCGAAGAGCAGCAGGATGGAAAGAAGATCTTAAGCACCATGGCAGCGGTCCTGGAGGAAGGGTCCACCTGCCAAAAAACACAGAAATGAAACTTGAGATGGCCAGTAAACACGAGGACAATCTGAGCTGACCCAACTCATTGGGAGGAGGCCCAGGCAACTTTTAAATCACTAAGTCCAACCACTCGCCTCTGCACTGAAACTAGAGACTGACAGTGGAATTCAAAGGATTTCACACCAGAGGAGTATTTAGGAAGTTCCTCATAATCTGCAGTCTTTGAAGTGAGGGGTGGTGAGCCTGGAGTTCCTCAGCAAAGCCCTTTTCCCAGTCCTGGAGCAGCATTTCACGACAATACACTGAGAGGCAGTGGCACTTCCTGGGGAAGGGACTTCATCATAGCACACAGGGAATATTTCCTCCAAGCTCAGGAATCCATCCAGCCTCTGATCTTGGATCTGACACTGGATTCTCTTCCTAGAGACCTGAGCACTTCCTGGGGAAGGGACTGCATCATAGCACACAGGGAATATTTCCT